ATACTGGTTTCTTACTAACTTAAACTTAAAAAAGAACCTACTATCTCAATTCATACTTTCGTTCGTTCTCATTCAAGTAATATTCGATTACGTCGTAAATTCTTATCCGGTCCACGAGATGACTATCAAATGGATTTATCGCTTAAAACTTGTAAAAAAAAATGGCATACGTACTAGTCTTTTACCAAGAAATTTACAAAAAAATAACTATCTCAATTCGTACTTTCATTCACTCTTATCTTCAAATTCTTATCTGTCCCAGACGAAAAGCAAACAAATCTATTGATAGAGTCCAATATATAGATACTGTTCTAAACTTTACTCACCCCTAGTAATAATTACAGACACCACGTTTAATGTTTAGCTGCAAATAATGACATAGTGAGGTCACTATTATCGTGATAATCAAGAAATAATTGAAGGTCAACAATGACTCGAGAACTTGCCCTTTTGTAGAACGCGCTGTATCGATAAGGATAATAGAATTTCTTGTTAGTACGCAGGTGATGCCTACTCGTGGAAATTTACTTGAAGAGCGATAGAATCATTATTAATATTATAAATATGAAATGTGACTATATCTGTTTGTTTGTTACCTCGTAGCGCTTTAACGGTTTAACCAATCACTATGAAATGTAGTATACACCTACCCTTTTATTTTGGGGAGGGGGAGGATTGTTAGTAATCGGGGAGGCGGGTTGTACGATGTTGAAAATCAGCAACAGGTATCAATCCCAACAATTCTTCAGAGCACTCCCCATGATAAATTTGGTAGATCACATCACAAAAACCTAACTGCGTTCGCTAATCCGCCTGCCAAGCGTGGCAACTACTGGCAAGACCCTCTTTATGGGGGAGTCCTATATTCAGCAGTAGACAGTTAATGATATGGTGATAATGACCTACAATATTTAGGTCGCATGCCTAGAGCTAGTTCGAGTTTCGAAATTAATGGAGCCGGTTTTGGAATTAGTTGCCATATTCATGTATTATATGCGAATATTCCGATCTACACCAATATTATAAAGAGGAAAGATTTGTATTTTTGTGAGGGTGAGGAATGAAAGGTGACAATTAAAAGGCAGGTCAGTTAGCTTATCGTGATGGATTCACTTGGAAAAGAACACGATAGTTTCCAGGGGTAACTGTGAGAAGGTCGACCTGACAGGGTGTATTGCTAACAATTGGGCTACTAATCCCCATTTATAACAATCTATTATCCCCCCCTTTATGTATAAATTGTTAAACATATTTGAATATTGTTGAATATTTCGTGAGTAGGAATAAATAAAACATTCTTTGAGAATTAAGTTCAGGATAAAATACAATAGGGCTGATGTACCTGAAGAAGGTTAAAGACTTTAAAATTAAAAAAGCAATATTTTGACAATCCACGAAACGTCTAGTCGTTTATCAATTCTTTTTTTTTTTTAACAAAATATACTCTTATCAACGTTTTTGTCGTCCGTTTAATTGCTAACCGTAATAAAAAATCAAGTGGTGCCATTATCGCCAGGCTCGCTATATATTACATAGTACGTATAAACTAGGACTTCCGGTACACCGCAGCCCTCTGATTATGTATCTTGCAATCGGTTTGCTAATGAAAATTATTGTTTATCATAATTTCTGGTCTACTATGCAATGAAATTCCGAATTTTCAAACTCGATTTCGTGTTTCGTTCATACTGAAATCGGCCCAGTAAATGGAGCTTAACATTTCATTCGTCATAAATCCTACTATAAAAGTCCAAAGGAATGATATTTGACGAGTAGCATTTTTAAGTGGTACATATTATTTAAAAGTATATTTAATATTCACAACAAATCTGCGTTTCGTTCAACCTCGAAATTTCGGAAAATACTTAATAGTAGACTCTCTGATGTTTGTTTTATACGATTTCAATTTGATTACATTTAGTCATCCTACTGAAGGGAAGGGGATTGTTAGTAATACGGATTACCAGTCCCATTGCCAGCAATATACTCTGTCAGGTCGACCTCCACGTGGTTCCCCCTGGAAACCATCATGCTGAATGTTAATTGTATTCATCACGATGGCCTAACTGACCTGCTTTTTCAACCTCATCTATCATCCTTCACTGGTGCCCCGCCAGCGTATCCCGTTAGCGCAGGCGGGGTTACCATTTTATTATCGTCCATTACAAAAAATGTTTGAAAATCATTAAAGACGTTATCTATTTTTGTCATTACCGCCATGTTTGGTATTTGTTCATATTTATAATTGTATTTACTGTGTGCTTACTTGCAGTTAACACATATTGTTTTACTCATATAATAAAATTGTTAACAAACAATGTTTTTACATGGGAAATATTTAAGAAAAAATTATTTGAAAGTTCTTAGTAAGAACAATAACTGCCAAAATAACAATTTTTACAAATTTCATTTGTATATCTATATGTATGTTTGTACCGGCATCACACAAAAATTACTGCACTAAATTTGATGTGGTTACACAGTTATGTTTATTTATTTATTCGTTAGTACAAATATGTGTACATGGCGGACTTAATGCTAAAAGCATTCTCTCCCAGTCAACCATAGGGAAGTGTCAGAATACTCGAATGCGGTACTAGTAATTATTGATATACATACATACTAAAATTGCATATATAAACGAATAAATATATATGAATAACAAATATACTTACACATATATGACATATACTATAATATACACGAAATTAAGAATAATGAAAGGTACTTACTGCTCGAATAAAGTAAAAAAAGTGAGCATTAACGTATTTTTTTTAAAGACGTTTGTGTTTCTAAGGGTCTAACTGAAAAACTTATGTATATATCATCATAGTACTATCTAGAAGTAATCTATTTTTTTTATTTATTTTCTCTTATTTATTTAAATGCATTCATGTATTTAATGTAGACTTGTTACAATGTTCTTATGAATAGTAAATACTCTTTATTGTTCCCTCCAAAAGATTACAATAATAAACTTATTATAGATACAAACATTTACAAGAAACGATCACAGTGAAAAAACAATAGACGGCCTTATCGCTAAGAGCGATCTCTTCCAGGCAACCTTATATTAATTAATAGCTGGCTAATATACATGCATTAATGCTACATGCATTAATTTTACTTTTGAATTTTTTTTTATACGACTTAGAATGGCAAACAAGCTGACAGCCCACCTGATGGAAAGTGGTAACCGTCGCCTACAGACATGAGCAGTACCATGGACATAACAGAGTATACTGTTTCGCCCATGATACCCCCCAAGCGTTGCCGTTCCTGAGGACTTAAGATATTATTCCTCTGTACCCTGTAAATTCACTGCCATATCCCACCCTTAAAACCGAAACACAGCCATGCAAACACAACTGCTTCACGGTTGAAACACGAATGGGACAGAGGTACCCAAGCAATCGACTTTAGTAGTAGTAGCGGGCAAATAGCTATTATATATAGATACAATAAGAAAATAAAAACTATATAAATTACTGTACTGTGTACTTTTTCTATTGATATATTTTCTTGTCACAGTCCATTGTATGTAAATTTATATGCACGCAATAAACTACGTTTACCATACACGAGATACTTTTTAATAGCTGGCTAAATAACTGTTTTAAAGTAAATATCAATAGTTATTAGTTTGGAATTATTATAACGATAGATAAGTTAAGACCACTCGTGGGAAGTAAGTTTTTTTTGTTATTTTTAACTACCTATTACTGATTCTGTATACGCATTTTTTGAAGTAGGGAAACCAATAAAATTGCTGGGGAGAAGAGATTGTTAATAATGGGGAATAGTAACCCCATTACTAGTAACATACCCTGTCAGATCGACTTCCGATTCCCCCTGGAAACCATCATGTTCAATGTCATGTGAATTCGTCACGATGGGCTAACTAGCCTGCTTTTTCATCCTCACCTATCATCCCTCACTGGTACTCTGCCAGCGTATACAGTTAGCGTAGGCGGGGTTGCCATTCCATTATCATACATTTAAAAAAAACAATTGATATAAACAAAGATGGTGTATCAAGATAAACTTTATGCCAGATTTTAAATGAAATCCTAAGGAACACAACTGTGAAAATCGCATCCCATTTGATGCTGTAATTTTTACGTTACGTTAGATAGACAAAAATTCTTAAAAAATATTATTTTGGCTTCTATTCCTTTTATTAAAACACCTCATGTTAATTTTTCTAAGTATCTTCTATGTCTAGTTATAATTTTATGTATATCTACTGGATTTTACACGACTTTGTCCCCAAGACCGGGATTAGCTGAGTACGCGGTAAGAGTTAACAAAACTAATAATTGAATTATTGAAACTCACTTTTATATTTTTCTATATTAATGAAGATATTTAAATGCGCAAGAATATGTAATGCTAAAATAGGTAGGTATCTATGCAGTAACAATTACAATACAAAAGTAATTTAAAATTAATTAGGTATTAGTTACATAATTGAAAATAAAATTACGAAATTCACATTATGCATATATGTACTAATCGATTTTATAACAATTCTTGCGGAAATATATTCTTAACTCTATACTTTTTTATGTGTTTAAAAATTAAGTCTGTTCTAAACTTCATCACGACTGCTCAGTACAAAGAGGTTTAGAACCTCGCAAAACAAGTCAAACAAGTAATAAACTCAGGTAATATTGGTATTCAAGTATTACCTATCACTTTACTTCTAATTTCCAAATTCAAAATGAAGCAATAAACACTGAAAATTAAAATACATAAATAAAAATGTACACGAAATATTTATTGCTCTAAAGCTAATTTTGTAGTAAAAATTCTATGACATTTACATATATTATTTTCCAGTCACATATTTCACGATTTTGCACCAACTTGTTCCACCTCGTTTCTGCAGCTATACAAATTCGTAACTATACAAATTTCACACTAAACTGTCACGCATTGACGATGATAACGCGCCGCGAAAATGTGATAATTCAGCATAAATTAAAAGCACTACTCACCGAATGTAGAGGACAAAATCCTTTATCTTCAGATCAAAATTAATAATAAACACGACACGAAAATAACTGGTAACCACTTATAGAACGGACACACCACAACCGTGCGTACCGTCCGCCGTTTTGACGCGGACTGGCCGAGTCGATCGAGCGAACTTTAGCGAACGCAAACGTTCGTTCAGTGGCTTTTTTCACTAGTACACGATGGCCGCGCAAATTGGCGCCAGATTTTATTTTTAATTTCTGTCAAAGTGCGTGAACCGGCGCGATAAAAACACGTGATGGGCACAGGTTAGTTTGTGACGTTGCATCTGAGCTTTCTGTCCGCTTTTAACAATTTAGTGCAGCGCTTTAAGCAACTAATGTATTCAACAATAACTGGTTATTGTTTACGCTGTATGATAATGTACCAAGGAAGTAGTAGGTAGTGCTGACGCCGATTGCCATGTACATATTGAAATAAAATAATTAAGTATTAACTCCAGTTGGTTTTTTTAAGGTTTTTAAAATGATACTTTCAATAATGATGCAATAAACGTATAATTGATAAGTAGGTACCTATGTTACCTACGTTTATTTTGCAGAACACTCCTTAAAATGATTTTGCTTAAACTGTCATTACTAATTTAGTCCATGTTACCTCACTTGTCATAATCAGCATCATTTCTATGTATTTTAATGTGTGAATATGAAAAGGTAACCCCGTTTGCGCTATCGATATACGCTGGCGGAGCACCAGTTGAACCATCGTGACGAATTCAACAAGAGTTAACCACGATAGTGTCCAGGGAGAACGACATGGAGGTCGACCTAATAGGGCATATAGGTAGCAATGGGGCTGTCAAACTCCCTCCCTTTCCCCCCGCAATGGAGGTGTTAGGCACCATAACAAAAATTATCTCTTTTCCCCCGACAATTCTGGAGTGGGCAAGGAACGGAGTCAGCAGATGACAGCATTCCGAATCCTGTGGTAGATTCATAAAAAAATGACCATTTAAAAGAACTTGTTTACGACAAGTCTGTATGAATATAGATGAATTGAATTTGAGTTTGACTGACCTTGTCTGACATCTGTTTAAATGTAAACAAAAGAAAGTCTGTCTTTTGTTTATAAATTTAAATGAATCGCTAAATGTGTTGCTAAGTAATTAAATATTGTTTATTTATTTAATTTTTATTGCATCACTTAAGAATAATACAATATATTTCACATATGAAGTACAAAAAATATATATGGTCTTATAGCTAAAGCAATCAGATTCTTAGTATATAAAGTATCAGGGGGTCTACCATGAAATGAAATTCCGAATTTTCGGGCTCAATTTCGTGTTTTTGTTCGTACCAAAATCGACCCTATAAATGGAGCTTAACATTTCATTCGTCATAAATCCTACCATAAAAGTAAAAAGGAACGATACTTTAGCATTTTTAATATTTTTAAACGGTATATATCAAGTAATTTTAACATCAAATTTTTGTTTCGTTCGGATACGAAATTTCGGAAAACATTTCATGGTAGGCCCTCAGATTCTTAGGCATAATTGTGGATAGATAATGTAATTGGAAAGCCCATATAGATACCTTGTGTAACAATCTCCATAGATTCGTGCATGCAATACGAAAATTAAGATTATCAGTATCAGAACAAGCTGCACTGAGCGCTTATCATGGATATGTTTCCTCCGTACTTTCATATGGCTTACTAATATGGGGAAGCTACAGAAATTTCCAGAGCATTTGTTGTGCAAAAGAAGCGTGTTAAAGTTATATGTGGGGGCAAAAATTAGAGTAAATTTCTTATCCTCTTTTTTAGATATTAAATACAGTGGTACCTCGACATACGAGTTTAATTCGTTCCGTAATCTTATGTAATCGTATGTCAAATTGCTCGTATCTCAAAGCAATTTTCCACATTGAAATTAATTGAAATGCCATTAATCAGTACTCCCAAAAAAACACCTCAGTTGTTTTTGTTAAGTGTTAGTCTGTTAGTATTACGCGCGCGTTGCCGACCCTAAAGAAACCTCTCTACCCCCCCTGTTGAAGAACCTCATGCTGTAGGCTCTTGGGAAAACCTCGGCAGGGGAAACAAGTTAGTTGACCCATCCTGACAGTGTCTCCGAATTATTAATTCAACGCTGATTCTTCCCCCCCCCCCTCCCCTTCCCCCATTCTTTCATCCATGATAAGTATTCAAAACTTCATAAAGACGCGATTCACCGAGAACGTATCTTACAATAACTGTATCATTAAATAAATAATCATTACACAGTGCACAGAATGTGTCCAAAGGAGATGTTGACACAACTGTTATGCACATTTTTACACACTTGTCTGCACATATTTAAGTATTTTTAATTAATTTCTTTACTATTAATAATAATGTAGTAATATGTGACACAACTCACGTTCAATAATTGAATTTTTCTTTGAAATAAAAGACATACCAGAGGGAGACTTTGTACAAAAGTCATTTGCTTGGCCGCCTCTGTCCCATTCGTGTTTTTACCGTGAAGCAGTTGTGTTTGCATGTTGTTGTTGTACTGCTCATGTCTATAGGCGACGGTTATCACTTTCCATCAGGTGGGCCGTCAGCTTGTTTGCCATTCTAAGTCAGATAAAAAAAAATTTACTTACTTACCAGTAACTGATATGTTTTTTATTATCTTTCCGAAATGAGAACATTTCTTGTACTCTTCCACAAGTTTTTATCGACGGTTTTTCGTCAACTTGTTCGCCATTACGATTCGAATAAAAAATTTTATTTGTTAGCTGACGATCTGATACTCCTATCAGAGTATCTCCTTATTTTATTAAACTTGTAACAAGTGTATTTTACTTTGCAAAAAAGCCATTTTAATTATGTACGTACACTGATAAATTGTGATATGTTTCGTAAATATATTGCGTTGAAATTTTACTCTATTGCTTCTTTGGATTGTAATGCTCGCCGAGATGTGGCCGCGTCGAGTATAACAAATGACTCTGACTACCCCATCAGGGATTGTAGTCGCAAATATGGGTTGTTATTGTTGTAAAATCTTCAATATGTTTATGTTAAATTAGAAACATAAATAAGATAGAGTACTAAAAAAAAACACTTCAATTGTGGCAACACCAGTTGATTTCAAAACTAACTTCAGAAGCGATTTGATAAAATCTCTATGAAACTAATCTGTAAGTATAGAGGGGAAAGGGATTGTTAGTAAAGGAGACTGAGAATCCCATTGCTAACAATATACCCAACCAGGTCGACCACCTCGCGGTTCTCCCTGGGAACTATCATGGTTAATTCCTGATGAATTCATCATGATGGGCTAACTGGCCTGTTTTCATTCTCATCTATCACCCTTCACTGGTGCTCCGCCAGCGTATCCCGGTAGCGCAGGCGGGGTTACCATACCATTTTCACCCATCAAAAAAAAATCTGTAACTATATTCTTTTAGATAAAAAAAAAAGAATTTTTTATATCAATTAAGTACTGACAGCGTTATGAGGGAACTAACATAAAAAAAGCAACAGAATTGATAACGTCCATCTTTTTGAAGTTGGTTGATTAAAATGCTACATTGTTATATTAAGTTTGCTTGTTGGTTTGTACACCCTTTGTACATCATATCATCATCGTATCAGCTTTTAACTGTCCACCGCTGAACATAAGCCTCTTCCTTGGGGGGTTTTGCCTGTTGTCACTACGCTTGGCAAGCGGATTGGCAACCGCACTCAGCCTTTAGAAATGTTTTAAAAGGGGCATTGCTGCCCATCCCTCGCCCTCCCTTAGTCGCCTCTTACGACACCCACGGGTTAGAAATGGGTGGCCTATTCTATGCCGGGACCACACGCCTGTTTTCTATTTAATAAATATTTTTTTTATTCCCGTGAAGTTAATAACCTGTAAATGTATTTGTCAGTTATTTACTCCTTGTATTTTTTTTTATTTTTAAGGGATTTTACCTTCTTCAGGTATATCAGCCCTATCGTACCTTGAACTTATTTCTCAAATAAAGCTTTATTTACTTTCCTTAAACACGGAAAGAGAGGAATTAATCGGCATCAATAATTTGCAGAGATGTTAAAAAAATTCTGGTTTAGCTTCAGTTAATATAGATTGAACAAGACCAATATTAAATTTATTTAAATTAAAGTGGCGCATGAATTCTTCTCTTTCCTTCGTGTTAATACGACACTCTAATAGAATGTGATGCACATCCTCGATGGTATTACAAGTTTGACAATGAGGTGACAAGCACTTTCCCATTATATGTGCAAATTTTTTTGACGGATAATGACCAGATCGAAAACTAACAGCTAATTATATTTCATATTAGTTTAAATACATACGACGAGTTGAATACTTTAACCGTTTAGTAATAGTAGAGTAATTGAAAAAAAATTAATGCGTTTCAGGTTATTTTCGCTGTGTGATTACATAAAATTGCGGAAGGCGTATTTTTGTAACAATCTTGTTTTTCCAATGACGCCGCGTAGTGCCCTTGTCTTTTTTCGCTGTTTGTACTTCGGACGCTTAATTTGTTTGTCGGATGACGCAATTAATTCTTTTGTAATTATGTATGCGCCTAGTACTAGTGTAGTGGGGGGAAAGAGATTGTTAGTAATGGAGACTGAGAATCCCATTGCTAGCAATATACCTAACCAGGTCGACCTCCTCGCGGTTTCCCCTGGAAACTATCATGGTTAATTCCTGATGAATTCATCATGATGGGCCAACTGGCCTGTTTTCATTCTCATCTATCGCCCTTCACTGGTGCTCCGCCAGCGTATCCCGTTAGCGCAGGCGGAGTTACCATACCATTTTCACCCATCAAAAAAAAAAAAAAGTACTAGTGTAGTTTCATTCTAATGGATGCTTCTCTGTCATTAATTATATACTAATAATTACTAAATATCAGAAATTTTTAAACTAATAAGTCTATGTAAAAATAATTATTTTAAACACACAAGCATTTGTGTTCTCTATTGTATGTGTTGTAATTTTTTTCACCGCATAATGAAAATTCTGTTTTGCCAAAGGTTAACTGCGAGAGAATGCTATATAGTATTAAGTCCGACTTTTGTACCAGACATTTTTTTGTAATGTGGTCAATAAAGAATAAATAAAAAAAAACTAAGCACACGCATA